GGTTCTTCACCAGGTTATTACTTAATGCCTGGGCTTAGTGCTCTTAGATGACAGCCATTGCAGGCTCTTTAAACTCATGGTGCTGGTTTTCCACCGGATACCATCTGGTTCTTCACCAGGTTACTAAGCAAGGGCATTGCTCTTATCAGATGCAAAGTTGGAGCAGGGGACTCAATATGCCTTTCAGGTGTGTAAGACAATAGAGGATGATCTTATGAGGATAACATAATCCCCTGCACTAGTAATATCCTGATTGTTGGACCCATGGGTTTCCTCTGACTCTCATTTTGTCAGATAAACACTAACTTTTAACACTCACTGAAATTATTATTCTTGAAGGCTTAAAGATTTATAAAGGCTCAAAGATTCATTAACAATCAAACAAGCAATGATTTACACAGCTTTGCCATTACTTGGAAGGGAATTACTAGGAAGGGTAATTTATACATCATAACAGATTTAACAATCAAACAAACACTGATTTACACAAATTCACTATCAATTGGAAAGGAATATTCTAACTTAGAAATCTATCTATACAGAAGCATCTAATATAGAAGAAGCAGAAAATATAGAGGAATTTACACATAAAAATTTTCATTGGGAACTTACTAACAAATTACTGATTAACAAGATAATATAGGATGACTATTGAGAATAGATTGTCACGAGGGAAACCATAGCTAGAAACAGGTTTTCAGGTGTAAGTGGGGCACCTGTAGTTGAGAGGATATGTTCAGCTTTGGAGGAGAGGGCTTTCAGACCTCCCCATGTTACCAGTCTCGAAGATCTCCGTTGTTCAGTGTTCATCCCTCGGGGAAGGGGTGATTTCGAGTCGGATGATGGCCCTACAGTGTTCATCCCCGGGGGAAGGGGCGCTGGTGTCAGTTGTAGCTCTGGAGTTGGGTCGGATGGCGGCCACCGAAGGGGTGGTGGTGGCGGTTCAGAGAAGGGAAGGGGCGGAGGCACAGAGCAGAGTGTGCCGGCATGCGGGGGAGCCGCAGCGCAGGACGTGTCCGGGACCCCTAGTCACGGCCGGAGCACAGAGCCCACTCTCGCCTGCCCAGAGCCTCCAGGCAGGGCTGTCCCGGGCGGCGACACCCCAGGCAACCAGGCCGGCGAGTCCGGGAAGCCGCGAGGGGAGTAGAGTGCCCGCTCGCACTGCCGCCCGCCGAGAAAGACAGGGCAGACTCCAGTGTGAGAATGGCGGTGGTTCCCATTGGAAGGGTGGTGGCTGTCGCTGGGTCATGATATGGTTTTACTAATTGGGTGGGAATCCAAAGTGGACCTGTGGGAGACAAAACAGCTGCATACCCTCGCCCCCAGGTTAGTAATTCTACAGGTCCTTTCCAGACAGAGGAATTTCTAGGATCTTTATAGAGGACCTGTGGGCGAGGTCGGGTGTCAGAGGGGATAAAATGTCATTCTGCAGCAGTACGACCATCTTTAGCAACCGATAAAAAGTTAAAAATAAAGAGAGCTTTGGCAAGTCTTTCATTTTGGTCACATACTGTAGACCCATCATCTCCCCCCCTTTGTTTATATAAGAGCTGTTTGAGAGTATGATGGGCACGTTCAATTATGGCTTGCCCTTGAGGGTTATAAGGAATGACAGTGGTATGAAGAATATTCCAAGTGGCACAAAATTGTTGAAATTTAGCAGAAGTATATGCAGGCCCATTATCAGTTTTAAGGGCTTGGGGACATCCCATAGTTGCAATGGCTTGGGTGAAATGATGACAGGCATGAGTAGAATGTTCTCCAGAAAGGGCTGTAGCATAGAGAAACCCAGAATATATTAGCCCAATGAAAGCCTTTACCACAGCGGGGACACTGTGCCTTTAAGAGAGCTAAAACAGCCCGAGAGTCAGCATTAGCATTTTTTACAAGCAAACTGGAGACAAAGAACTTCAGCTGCTTGTTGATTGTCTACCTGTCGGAAAATGGCATATTCAATTAAAAGCAGAAGTTGGGTAAGGGCTTCTTCTGACACCTTAAGCTT